CCTCCTTCTCATAGCAGGGCCATCCTCAGCAGTAAGGCTGGACACCATGCCTTTGCCAATGCCAAAACAATTGTTCCTTAGCTGTTGTGGTGGTGGTAGTAGTAGTAGTAAGGTTAAAGTGGAGCTTTGGTGATTGGAAGTGTGTCTAGATTTCTCCTTACAAGGAAGCGTACCAAAGAGACTAAGGGGCCTTTTGGCCAAAAAGAGCATCTTTTCATCAGGGAGAGCTTGGGTTTTTTGTGAGAAGCACAAACTAGAACAGGTCACTTTTTCAAACTGAGATGAGACAGAACAGACAGGATGAAACAGAGCCAAGTTTCCACAGAGTTTCTTCATCCAGGCATGGTGTGTTATTCCCTCTTTCTCCAGGGGGATGCATTTGGTTAAATCACTCTCTTCTAGTAAAGGAACATAATGTAGCAAACTAAATAATGCCAGTACTATCCATCATATGTTAATAGAGCACAGAGTTCCTGAAGTAGTATTGCAGAGGGTGTAAACGAGGGAAATGTATCCAGGCAGAAAGCGCTGTAATAGGTGCTTCAGCTGGTTAACAGTTTTCCTACCACACTACTGGGCTCATTTTCCACAAAACCTCCCAAGAAATCTACTTTTTTCCCCATTTTGTGGCGTATGTGGTTCCAGGATATATTTTCTTCCATCGTATACCACGTTCTGACTTGAGCCAAAATTATGGAGGGAGTGGCCTGCTAAGCAAGCACACACATGAACACATGGCAGTTGTGAGGAGGGCCACTTGTTTTGAACATGTGATAAAATTTCTCTGTGGAGTTTTAAAGCACTGGTTGCTTTTTGTGTTTAATTAGCATTGCAGAGTTTTAAGCAGAACTTGGACATGCTAGATGCTGCTCTATGCTCCTCTGAAGAGTTCCAGCTTCACAGAGGTCCAGAAAGCTAAATTAGTTTTCTTTCACTGGTAGGCCATGAAATCCTTGTGACAAACTTTATCGAAAGAGAGGTGTAGATGAAGGTAAGAAGTCTTGAGGCTCTGGGGGCTGGAAGGAAATCAATCTCTGTTTCAGAAAGGCTTGAGGCACAAGATGTTTTTCTGTAGCCCTGAAGTATAACAGCTTTCAACTTTGAACCTGTATCTATCCTGCTTACTAAGTCTTTTGGCTCAGGGCTAAAGGTGTTTGAACACAGTGGTCCCAAAAAGGGGCAATAAGAGCTGACACAATGGCTACTCGAGCCATTGTTATAACTAATTCTTTTCATGATGTGAAACTTCCACTGCCAGCTCCAATCGCTGTAGTATTTGTATATCCATATAGTTCATATGCAGGTTTGGTTTTTTTTCTACAGCATTTTCTTTCTTTTGAAGAAATAAAAGGTATCTTCTGTCTTAAAGTTTTCCTGGCTTTTTTTTTTTTTTTTTTTTTTTTAACATTTTGATGACAAATTACCTACTTAAAAAGACAGCACCTATGTTAGTTTTGTTTGGTTTGGGGAGGTTACAGTGTAGACAACCTCCACCCTCACTCCATCCAGGGTGACCCAATCCTATAGAGACAGGCCTTCCTGTGCTAGTGTGCGAATACCTGTGGAGGCAATGCAGACTTTGCTGGTACGTCCTTTGCCCTCTGTGAGAGGTGCAGTGTGGGAGTACTGGTTACTGACAACTCATCCCATGGCAGCACAAAGGATCTCATCTGAGCCTCTCTACAGATCTCTGATGAGGAGGCTGTACTCACAGGAGCGTCCCTGGGTCTGCTTTTCTCCAGTACAGCCGTTGCCCGTTTTGCCTTCCTGGCACTTACAGCCAAGTCTGGCCAGTATAGGACAGGGCAGGCAGGAAATGCTTGGTCTTCAGAGTGCAGTATAGCTCATCCTGGGCTCATGGGAACTTGACCTTCCTTTACCAGTCCCATGCAGTCCCCAGGGGAGGCTGCAGAAAGAGAGCAGAGAGAGTTGGCTGTTCTGAGGGACTGCAGGAAGCCTGTAGGAGTATCCCACAGAGTAGAGTTGCTCTAGAGACAGGCGGTAATAGTGTCCTGCAGAAAGCCTTTGGACTGAGCTGCTCCAGGGACCTCAAGACTGGCTGTTGTGCAAGAAGAACAACATTTCTTGCAACAGAATTGTTGTCTTGGCCCCAGCTGTGCACAGAATGGCAAGAATGCATACCCCTGCCTGTGTCAGAGGTCTTCTCTAAGATTTACAGCTGTGATGGGAGCCGTCGGCTGACCTTTATGTCTCTGTCCTTTGGCGTTACAAGAGCAGAAGGCCTCTAGTGAGACCAGACCACAGCCAGGACCATTCAGATTTGCAGGAGGTTTTCTGCAGTACCAGTTTTCCAGTGACCCCTACAGACCTATTGTAGCGGCCTTTGCTGGGGTTACTGAGGTACAGAAGCAGCCAGACCACTTCTTTGGCAGGGAAAGGCATAGGTCCACCCCCCAGAATAGCAGGCTCATACCTTAACATCAAAATCCCTCTGTCCTGCTAAGATTTCAGCTTCACGCTTTCTGTAGACTTTCCAGGGAAAGGCACATCTAAATGTGGGCTATGAGAGACAGATGAGTTATGCAGCCTTGAGGAGAAGAGTGTACAGCAGTAAGCTGACTTCAGCTATGGTGATTATTACAGACTAGCACAGAAATTTTATTTTCTTCTGTTCTAAAGACAAAATGTGAAGTTAGCTGAGCCAGCAGAAACAGCTGATAGTGCAAGGTAGGTATTTGTGCAAACTACCTGGATGTAATGTTATCAGTGCCATAATACCTCTATGGCATGCTGACAGGGTACGACAAACCATATAGTGGAGGAGAAACCTGCTCCATGACACATTAGGAATTAAGAATTAGCCTCTCACACCTATATGCGTGATACATTAGTAGAGAGAAAAATCTCCCTTTCAAGTCTCTTTTATACACCTTTATACCCATAGAAGAGTGTCTTAGCTGGTGCATGGCAGACACTCTGACCAGGGCAACAGCAGTTTTGGAGACATTTGCTAGCAGTATAACTACAGCTAATTTCACACTGTCATTTCAAGGATTTGAGCTACCACTTCACATTGTTTTGAGCACAACTTAGTGCACATCTTGTAAATATGGAGACCTTTGTTTTGTGCTGCGTAGCAGATGTGATGCAGCCTTGCATCTATAAAAGACTATTAAATTTTAATATAGTGAGAAAAGAGTATTATTTTCTTAAACCACCCTTTATTTAAAAACATCAGCATTTGTAAATATATAAAATCATAAAGTACCAAGTGCTTCTTGCTTCCCAGTACAGTAGGATTCAGGAGTGGCAGGTAAATTTGGTGCTAATCTGTTTGATGTGTTATGTCCACGGCTGCAGATCTGACCTAGTTTTGCAGAAGACCGCTATTCTCATTCCTTTGACAGGTCTAAACTGATCTTGTTTCACCTCAGTTTCACACTTCCTTCCTGCTCCTTTTAACAAACGTCAGTGCTTACTGGTGAGAACTAGGCTGGAGCTGTAGGAACTAGCAGGCTCCCTCAAAGGATGCAGCTAGGTGTTTTACAAAGGGGGAAATTTCCAGTTGCCAATAGGGAAGAGAATTCACTATGTAGTGTTCCTTGGGGAAAGTGCATCCTTTGTTTTGGGATCATCCTCTAGATGGACTGGATAAAGCCAAACACAGGTCCAACTTGCATCAAGTTTCCTTAATCGGCAAGCACTCAGATCCCCTTGCAAGATGCATGGTATGAAGCATCACGATGTCCCATCTATGTCATTTTTTACCACTGAAATATTACAGGGTACAAAGTTCTCAGGTTGTACATCTAGACCTTAACGCCAAAGCAGGACACTGGACTGCTTTGGAAGTACTGTAAAATTAAAAATCCAGTTGTATCAATTACAATCATTAGGGTAACCGAACTCCAAGTGGGATCTTTTCTGTCACTACCCATCTCTTCTAACACTGGAGAACAGCTGTCAGTTGCTGAGAGAACTGGAAGGTGATTGTAGATGTTGTTTCTTACTTGATCTTCCACAAAAGGCCCCTAGCATCTGCAGAAACTCATGACAGGTCCCTGCATTGTCTAAGTGGTCCCTTTTGCCAGTTCTCCTGCCAGTTTCCACCACATGAGGCACTACCGTGTCATTTCCCAAAAAGTGAGATGATCTCTTAGCGTTCCCCTTTAGGAAAGCATCACTTGGCCTGGGGAGGGCCCTAATCTTACTATCCTAACATTACACCAGCAGGTTCATCTTCTTGTGGAAAACTTAAACCGCTGGAATTGCAGGAAAGGTGCAGAAACAACAGAAGCCCAAGTAAAACAAGCTTATCCTTTTCTCAGCATCTGTCAGGGAACCAGAATGTTGAGGAATGCTGCTGTATTTAACTTTTGCTGCTTACTGGCATTTTCTTTTCCAGGTGACATTGCAGGCAGGGCTTTTCTTTTCTCTTCCTGTTTGTGGGAGAGGACAAAATGTCTCCTTGTAAAAAAATTGTATTACAGATCACATACCTATACTTCCCTGCTGCAATGGAAGGTTTCTCTAGCTCCTATCGCCCTCTAGCTAAGAGGCACAATTAGCTCCAGCTTTAGAGTGGAAGAGTTGGTACGCTGTACAAGAACCATAGTCCTTAATCACAAGTTTTCAACTAGGTTTGTGATAGACATGGCTTCCACCCCTCTGAAAGCTTCACCTCTGATCCAAGTACATGAAAATGAAAAAGAATGGCTGAAATATGATGCTTTTCTCCTCTACAACATTTCTTTAGCTTGAATCAAGTCAGATAAAAATCCCTGTTACCTGCATAGTTGTCCAATCCCACTTTCACCTTTCTGGCAGCACAGCCTTTCTTACAGCCCAGACTCACAAATAAATACAATTTTGAGGGAAGCACAGCAAAGATGCCCCAGTGATTCTGCTCTAGCCCTTGCTTGGTGTGCAACAGGACCTGGACATCCCAGTGTGCCAGTTAAGCATTTGCAGTCATGGTCCCTGCCCACAGACCTGAGTCCTTCCCTTACTGTGCCCTTGGCACCCCCTTTTTGGCCTGGTTATGCTTCAGGAACATCTGCTCTTGCTGTATCTTCTGCCTTGACCAAATCATCACTGTTTGTCTCAGCATGGAGCCGCTTGTAGTCAGTGTGGAAGAAGATGACGTAGAAACAAGCCATAGCACTGCAGAGGCCAGCCAGCACCAGTACTGGAGCTGCAAGGAAGGTATACTTTTAGATGGTGAATTCACAACTCCCCCATGGGTGCAGAACTCTAGAGGTAAGCTCCCCAGCAACTGCACAGCCTGGGTGATCTCCTCCCAAGGCCTACCCTTGAGGACAGTGTGCAGCTCACAGTGGGACAATGACAGTTTGGCAACAGCCAAACCTTGTCTCACGTAACAGTGGCATAGGAAGAGGGTTTGGGTGAAATGTGGAAGGTTTCCAGGACTCTTGTCCTGCATGACCCCACAGGTTGGAGGTCTTACACTGGTACACACACTGTGTTTGCGGGAGTGTATGTTTCTGCGTATGTATACATGTTTGTGTGTTGGTGGGGGGTGAAGGAAGTTACAAGAAAGACTGAATCAAAACACTTGAGCTTTGTAAGAGAGCAGGTCCACACAGGTAGTGCTTCTTGTTATATCGTCTGAGAGCAAAGTGTAGGAAAGGTTCACTAAGGATAAATTTTAATCAAAGAAAAATTTGTGTTGAAAGAATGTTTTCTGAAAAAAAAAAAAAAAAGAAAATAGTAAAGGCTATACAACAACGCCTGGAAGTAGTTACATTCTCATTCCAACAGTGTCTCAAATAAATGCCTTTCTCCACAGATGTCCCTGCATGTTATCAGACCACAAAATGACTAGGAATGGGTGCCCAAACCATGACATCCAGCTCTGATCTGATAAGATGGAGAGTTGCAATTTTTCAGACATGAAGCAGTGAAATTGCTTTTTGGGGGCAGTTGTTGTGAAGCTTTGTTCCCTGCCAGCTAGTGGAGCTTGTGCTGGGAAGTTCTGCTCAGCCAAGCAGGATGCATTCAAAAGGTGTTGCCAGCCTTTGTATTACAGTGTGTCCCCTGGACTTGGTGTCAGTTTTACATAAATATGAACCAGATGAGAATATTGAACCCAGCTGCAGAGTTTAGCCTGCAGTGAAAACACATTTGTGCTCCTGTTGATCTCTTGTTGCTCTCTCTTCTCCTGACCAACTAGGAAAGGCAGGGAAATGTGCAATAAGTCAGATTAAAGCTTAACAGGCAGCTGTGTGTGCAGAAGCAAGGGAAGTAGCTTTCAGTCAATGTATTTGTAGTCTCACGCTCCCACACTGCAAAGCAGCACAGGCTGTGCTAGTGGACAGTGCCTTACCCCTGGAAAAGCTGCTTTCTAGGTTGGTGAAACCCAGGTCTCTGCAGGGTGGCCCTAAGAGAAATTTTAACCCAGAGCCAGCAGCAGCATTCGTGGCACCTTAGAGGTCTTCCAGTTTCAATCTTGCAGGCCTCTTTTAGCAGCAGCAGCAAGGAGTGCACCACCAGGTTGGTAAAAATGGCTAAGAGATGTATGCTACAAAAGGAATCAGTCATGCAGGCTTCCTCACAGTGAGACCTGGAGGAGAGTGTGGGGTATGTGGGGTGCAACCAAGTGTCCAGCATTATTTTCCAAGGACATACTTACTTGTCCAGTCCAGGACTCCATCCTGGTCAAGGTTGCAGGTGGAAGACGGATCCTCAGAAACACGAACAGTGAGGGCTTGTAGCAGAATCATTAAAATCACACCTTCAATCTGGCTGTGGGGAGAAGCCAACATGCAGTCAGGGTGTTTGCCTGATTCATCAGAGCTGCAGACAAGCCCAGCTTCCCCAGAGGGAAGAAAGTGGGGCCCCTTTCTCGAGCAGGGCCCTTCTAGTAGAGAAAGCTACTACCAGCTTTCTCTAGCCCAGGCATTTGAGTAACTGGCCCTGGTTCACAGCATGTCCAGGTTGGCCTTTCAGCACACCCTCAGACATGGAGCCAGCATGGCAGGAGCACTACATACTCCCTCTGGAGGCAGGCAGGTGTTGAACTACAGCTATCAAGGACCTGAGGCTTAGTCACTGGGCAAATACTTGGAAATACTTCTGACTCCAGGGCTGAGGATGGGGAAAAGTCAGGCTATGACTTCAGCCTCTTCCTCATTCATAGCTGGTTGGCAGCAGCAACAAAGTCCACAAGTGGGAAACAACAGCCTCCAAAGACAGTGTCTAATGCCACTCTTTGATTGATGTTTCTTCCTGCTGCTGCTCCACCTGACACACACATGTGGCACCAGGCCACATATGTCACTGCTTAGGGCTCCAGTAAATCATTCCTGATGTGGTTGAATGCCAACCCTAGGCATGTAAGTTGGTCACAGGAAGAAATATCACTGCCCCAACTGTTGTGTTCAGCTGCCCTGTGAGCCCCATCTCCCTCAGCAGAGCACTGACACCTGACAAGACCCTGTACTGCCATGGGAATGGGTGCCCCTCTCAGGCACACAGCCCCCATCTGCTTCAAAGTTAGGTGATGCTGGGCATCATTAAATCCCACTTTGCACCAAGCAAGGGAGACCTTCATCTTCCTTCTTGCTTTTCTTGCATCAATTCCACATACTTCTTGGTTTAAAACCTTTAGCTCTTCAGCTCTATGGTTCAGTCATATGGTTCAGCTCCCTCCTTGACATGGTCATGTCCATGGACCGCAGAGAGAAGTTC